ACTCCATATCAGTTTTTGATCAGTGGATCTATTTTCTAAAAAACATCTTGTGATCATGATTGTCTTTGTTGATGAGACAAATTTGACACAAAATTTAACTTTGTTAAATTTTAGCTCAAGATTTTGAAATACCATTAAAGTACAGTAGGTAAATACCTTAGGAAACTCTCTCATCGCTCAGCCTCCCTCATCACTGAACTTAATTCCTATCATCTTAGGCGAATTTTTAAACTGAAGACTTGTTTGGCTATAAGTTCATTTTTGGCTTAAAAAGGTTAAAAGTAAAAAACTTGTTTACTTTTTGCTAAATAAGCAAGTGTAAAATGGTACACTACTACCAAAAAAACAAATGTTTAAAAAGACATACAAAAGTTTTCCATAACAAAAACTTAATTTTCTTAGGGTTAATTACACAAACCTCCCTTGAGGTTTCTAACAACTACAGGGAGCTCCCCTGTAGTTTTTGAAATTACACTGACCTCCCCTACTTATGCTGACAATATAACCTCCCCTTTGTTATCCCACTGTTACACTACTTAACAGAATTTGATGATGTAAGCCAATTTTAGTATCAAAATGCCAAAATTGCTTTGACAAAATATAACCAAACAAACTTTTATTGATCCATCCTATGTCCAAACACCTACCTAATCAAATTCTCTGGTTATCTCAACAATCCATGACCGATCACCTGAAGGCACCTGAAGGGAGAAAAAAAAAAAAAAGTCATGTTCTATATATATCCACAACTACCAACCTTTAGGCCTTAGATTGTTTCCTTTTGAGAAAACCAAACCATGAAAATTGTTTTGGAAAACTTGCTTCCACTACCGTATCTTTTATATATACATATATATATATATATATACATTAAAGCATACGAATATATACATACATATATTGTAGCTAGCTTCCTTTCTTCGAGTTTTATCCCCACGAAATCACAAAACTTCAATCACCCAAAATGAGTTTGTCTCCTTTTACAGAGACCCATTCCATAGAATTATAGACCCACCGAAATCACAAACCCATCCTCGCCCGAAATCACTTACTACCGACACCACTCTTTCCACCCGTGACCACCACCTACTCTTCCCCCCACCACCTCTGTGACTTTGTGCAGCCACTATCTCCATTTTTCCACAAACAAATTGTGGAGGTCAACCCATTGGTAAAGGAAAAAGAAAGGGAGATGAGAGGAGACAGAAATGAGACATGAAAATTCATTCGCTTAAGGAAAGGAAAAAGATTGTGTTGGCGATAAAGAAACTGTTGAACAGAATAGTCAAGAAAGAGAAAAAAGTGAGATAGAAACTAACTATCCATTGACTACTACAGTAATTACCTTCAACTAACAAAACATCCACTCAACACTAACATTCTAACATATGTAAATTAATTAATTGGATTGTCTTCATTGTTAATCATCTCATTTTCTTTAGCATCTGAAACCTATCGAACTGGTCAAGATCAACAATTCAGGTCGCAAGATTACCCTCACCAACTCCAATAAATATCTTGTCAGGTGTGGGAACGGAATGTGACAGACTTTTATCACTTATGATGAAAAACAAAACGTGGTAGACCACAGCTTCCTCTTTAGCTAGTGTTTTGTTCACCGGAATAAAGTGGAATGGAATGATCATTCCAACAAAATAGTTATTCACATATTTGGTTCAACTAAAATATAATGACAAAGGCATTACAAATGGAATCATCTTTCACAATTTGAAAGGAATGGTCATTCGATAGAAAAGCCTAAGAAATCGTCATTCCATTCCATTCCATTCCATTCCATCACATTCTAATGAACCAAATAGAGCATTAGGTGGTGGGCTCGCGAATTTTAGAAGGAATGAGACTCTCAGCATTCTGAAGGTGTGTAAATTGGAAGATGTGGTCTTCGGGAGGTGAAGGGGTTGTCGTGACGAGGTGGTCAACGCTGGAATGGGTTAAATTAATAGAAGTGGTCCCATGCGCATTGGATCTAATTTAAACTTCTGTAAATATTGGGGGAACGGACTTTCATAGCCAAAAAAGAGATGGAGATAAGGGTAAGGAATGAAAAGTCAAAGAAATAGGGATGTTTGGTTGCAAAAATTAGTTATAGGGTGAGATGCTTTGGGGTAAGATTGTTTGGATACAAGGACATAAAGAAGCAAAGAGTAGAAAGGTAAATTTGTAAAATCACATCCACTGTTAATGACTATGACCTGACAACTCTGACAGGGGAGGCCAGCGTAATTTCAAAAACTACAAGGGATGTCTTTGTAATTGTCAGAAATCTCAGGGAAAGTCTGTGTAATTAACCCTTTTTTTAATATAACCAAACTTATACATTCATATAGAATATAAATCAATTCCCTTTCTTGTCCTTTTCCTTTCAAAAAGTGTAATTCTGGGATGAACAATTTAATGGGTTTAGTGAGTTTTACCATTCACATATATAATCAATAGAGTATTGACACATAAGATGTAAATAATATAATATATAATAAATGAGGAATGTTAGAAATTCACAATGACATTGCAAGGAGGCAGGCCTTACATGGTTGAATTTGTGACAAATCAAAAGTTGACATGCGTATCATTGTTGGTAAATTAGGAGAGCCTTTTTAAGGGTCTCAATTTTTTCCCTAAATAAAAATGATATCATAAATAACATTATGTGAAATGTTATTTATCATTGATTTTATTTCACCATTTTGTTTTCACCTCTTATGTGTATCGGTGCAATAAAAGGCATGCATGTGTAGAACCCATCATATATAATAAAAAGTGAGAGTTACCATGCTACATAAGAATCGATATAAAAGATGAAATTTTTTGATAAACTACTTTGGCCAACCGTAACATTATTATGATAATAATTCTTTAAAAATAAATAAATAAATAATTAAAAAAAAAACACCATCATAATTAAATGTTACAACATCAGCATTAAAGTCGCCTTCACACCATTGCACATATTTCAAGTAAGTTTCAAAAGGAAAGGCAATTATGGAAGAAAAAAAGAGAGCCACAGTTACTGTGAGGCTTGTGTATATTAATTGACTAAAGATACTCACCAAACTAAAAAAGTAAAAGAGCATTATGGGCAAAACTTGACAAAAAAGAAGCCACCAGCGAACAATGAAAACACTGTTCAAAAGCTTCAATTTCCTTTTATTATAGTGTATAGATATATGCATATGACCGACCAATCAAGCAAAAAAACGATATATGTCACAAGGATCTTTCATGTTATAGAGATCCTAAAGCCCCCTATTTGCATAAATTCAAGATCCTTAAAATCTTCAAACATTTTACCGACACCTCCATCATGATAAAGCGTAAAATTATGGCCAGTGACCACAATGACATATTCAGTACAACTCCACCCAATTCTAATGATATATCCAAATTTAATGGCCGAACTTCTTTATGATGAGCTTGAACCAAACCACACATATTAAACCCAATAGAAGATGTACTCCCTCTGTCCCAATTTGTTAGTCCTTTTTGGAGATTCTAACTTTTTAAGGAGGCATAAAATCATTACACTTAAATATAAATTTCAAAATATTTTTCCACTAATGCCCCTATATTTTCAAAATTTTAATATATTTATAATTACTCAAAAGGGATAGTTTTGGAAAATCAAATATTTTTTACTTTGACTTTTCAAATGGGACAATAATTTTGGGACATCCCACAATGGAATAGTGGACCAACAAAATGGGACGGAGGGAGTTATCTTGTTTTTTTTTCTCCATCTATCCATTTTTATTCCATAATTCATTCCAAACTTCTAGAATCCACCCAATAAAAAGATGTTCATAAGAGTTTTTTCTTAGTTGGGAGAGGGTGGTAATAATAGAATCCACTAGAAGACACCAAGAGGATGGTGGCATTAATAAATCCGCTACAAGGCATTTAAGGAGTAAAACCAACATAATTGACATGTACACACATGATCAAAAGCAAAAAAAAATGAAAAACCATACAATCTCATCCCTCCCAAAATTTCAAATAGTATCTATTGAAATGGGGATTTCTCTGTCAACCAAAAAAGTTTAAAGCACCATAATACAGGTGGTTGCAATGTGTAAAGCCACATGGACTCAGATACAGTTGTCATGTGTGCGTACATATCTAGATGTTGGATCCATCAACCCTCAAATTTAAGGGTATGCGAACTAGGCAAAAAAGATAGCATTATATGTGACATATAGTGTTTACTCATTTTAGATCAATTATACAACAATATAGACATAAAAATAGTGTTAAATACAAATATATAATAAGTGTCCGACGGAAAGAATCATACACATTCCCACTCCCTTCTCCAAGTGTTGGGTATCAGACATGGGTATTTGATTTATTTTGAAGAATCTATGTAACAAATAAGCTTGTATAGTGACACAAACTATTTTGTTATAAATAGTTGCAAATTTGCAATACTGTAGACAGGTTCAATATGTCACTAAGTACACTAGCTAAGTTTGCTTCATTTAAAAAGATCGTTTTTTCTTTCAAAAACCTTTGTTGTTGATATGAGAAGTGTTGTTGATAGTTGCAGCAAACTTGTTTCCAAGCATCACACAAGCTTACCAGATAACAATGTCAACAGGTCAGCGCTTTTACCATTTAACATCAATTCCTGGCCAGCAGTTAGCACAAAACATTGTTCAAATGACATTATCACCATCATATTCAAGGTTGACCAGACACAAAACAGAATCTAACTTATTCTGGTCATGGAACTGCAGAGTTTAGGAAAATACTTGATCACCTACCAATTCATTGTACTTTATCATTTCTTTCATTGTTTACTCAACAACCAATTTGAACATAGTTACATAGTGAGAAGCCACAATTGATGTTCTTCAACAACTAAGAAGAATCAAGTATGGAAACAAGCAAGCAAAAACACAGAAACTAAAGCTCATAAAAAAAAAATAAAAAATAAAAAAAACACATAGAATAAGAAATTGAGCATTATTAATTTGATCACTAACCTGTAAAGTGAAGAGCCTATCTTCAAACTGCACTTCCTTGGTCAAAAAATCAGCTCCGATGGTCGCCTTGTACTGATTGCTAAACTTCTTGTTCACATATCTAAAATCAAGAAATCAAGGCAGACAACACCAAATCCAGAGAAAAAGGCTTGCAATAGAAAGATTGAATTATTCAATATAACACACCAATAGATTCATTGATTAATCAACAAAACAAACTAAGAAGGATACTGATTCATCAAAGAGGTCTTTCCCACCCTGCAATTAACACACAAAACGAATCAGTCAAACCATACGAATACAGGCACATATAATGCCTGGATTAGATCAAAATCGAGAGAATCCTAGTTCAATAAGTGGCAGGACTTGAAGAGCTTCAATTGAATCGACATAGTGAAAGATCTAAACAAGAAATCTACGTCTGAAAACCCTAGAATTGAAGATCGGAGCTAGGACAGAGATAACTCACCCGCTGTCGCCGAGGATTATGACCTTGAGAAGCGTTCTTCTACGGGAAGGCATGGTGAGGGTGCGAATCAGCTGAGAGAAGCACCCGATCCAGAGAGAGAGAGAGAGAGAGAGAGAGCTGTGAATGGAATTGGGGATTTGTACTAGTAGTTGAGTAGTCTAACTAGGTTCTTCTTCCTGTCTCTCTACTGCGTAAGGAACATTTCTGGTATGTTCGAACATACATAAATATCTAGTGTGGACGAAGTCTTCTACATGTAGTATATACTCTCATCGAAAGCTGTAAACGCGTTGGACTCAAAACAGAGCTGTCGCGACCTCCTACTGCGCCATTCAACAATGATTATCCTCTAATTTGAGAATAATAATGGGAAATGAGTGTGACCTGCCACGATGTTTTTTGCCTTATTTTTTATTTTTATTTTTTAAAGTGGGTGCCAACTCATTAGTAGTATTTTAGAGCATCACTTTTAGTGAGATGTAACATTGTTGAATAATATTTAAGCACTAATGAGTTGAAAATTTAAAAAAATATAAAATAAAACTTAAAATGGAAATATAAAATAAAACTTAAAATTGAAATATCCAATCAATAATTGAAACTTGTTTAGAACTTATTGCGTAGAACTTCCAAATATTTTTCTCGCGTCATTGGCTGCAAAACCCCCTTCTATTTTATTTTATTTTTTTCATTGACCTCACTTGATTCTTTTTATTTTTTATTTTTTCTTTTATGATGAACTCACTTGATCAATGATAAATTTCATAATTCATAATTTTATGATTATTATAAGGGGAATCTCAATGGGTAGAAAAAAAAAAATTTACACAAACACCTCATTAGATAATCACTTGTATCTCAAATATTTCATTTCACTTATTGAACTAAAATTTGCGACCCTTAATTTCTCTCGTTTACTAATTTTATTCAATTAGACTTTTATGATAAAAATATTCCTTTTAGATATAGAATAAACTACACTTTACCTCTTTGAACTATCATACAATATCACTTCACTCATTCAACTGAAAAATGCTACATTTTACAATCTTAAACTATAAAAATTATATTAATGTAAGATTTTTAATAATGATTAGTTACATAAATTGATGAAAATTAATATATGACTTGCACGTAACATCTCAAATATTATAAAATGCATAAAATAATATTATTCTTTTTTTTCTTTCATTTCTTCTACTCAAGACAATAGCAATGGTAGCCATAGTATAGACAGATGTTGTTGTCAACGTAGATAGGAGAAATGAGTAAAAGAGAAAAAGAAAAAATATGAAAAGAGAAGAGTAATGTCTTTTTTAAACAATTCACAAAATTTGAAATATCATATACAGGTCACATGTCAATTTGTTTATATATTTATATATCGGATTATTAATGAAATGTTTACATTGATCAAAATTGATAGTTCGGGGTGATAACGTGTAACTTCTTTTAGTTGAGAGAGAAAGAAAATGAGTGATGGTTTAATGGAGTAAAATGTAGTTTGCTTCTATAGCTAAAAAGGTATTTTCTTCTTTAAAAAAAAAAAAAAAAAAAATCAACCCTTAACAATTTCCTCTTTTTTCTTTAATTGTTGTATGAATCGCCAACACAAGCCACACTGTCACACTATCATGCTCACTAGCACACACGAAACAAAAGAAAGAAAAAACAAAAAATCCTACCAAGGTGTAAGGAGACTACGAAAAAGTAGGGGAAGAAATGGTGGAACCAAAAAGGTATTGACGTCAATGTTAATTTTGGGTGGCAATGGGAGATTAAGGTGTCGTTTGGAAATATGTTTTTTTAGTAATTTTTTAATTTTTTAGTTAAAATTTAATATGTAAAATAAATTAGTATATTTGGGATGATTTTTTAACTTTTTACGAAAATATGTGTAAAAAGTAGAGAGAAAAATGAAACTTTGACTTTTTAGTATAAGTTATTAACTTTTTGACTTTTTAACTAAAAAAGTCACCTATCAAACGAGGCCTAAATGAAGGTTTAACCCATTTAAACATGGATTTTCAATGTGTCAACCAATATTATATAATAAAATTTGTTAAGAATTATGATTTCAAGGACAAAATAGAAAATTCCATTCATATTTTTATCAAATCATTACAAAGACTAACGATAATTTAACTTATGGGTGCAATTTGTTATGTAATTATAATATTATGTTGAAGGGAGTATAATGTAATTATATCAAATTTGTAAGATTAGATGTATTTTCTCTACTATTTAGGGTTGCAAATATAATATAAATGATAAAGTTATCTTTTTTTTTCTAATAGTCTAAGCTCTTTAATGAATGGTGGTGTTACATGCACTAATTAGTGTACTAACTAATGTACCAATATTAGTTATGACATTATTATTGACCCCACTTATTAATTATATTACAAATCTCAAAAACCTTTTAAATTATGTCACATCATCAATTGGTATATTAGTTAATATACTAATTGGTACATATAACATTATTTTTTTGGGTACTTACGTGCAGGTCCTAATAAGTGGACTTATTGTCTAATAAGGCCTGGTTTGGGATGTTAGAAAAAATCCAAAAGGTCAAAAAATTACAAAAAAAGTAAAAAAGTCATCACTATTCACAAATTAAAAATATAAAAAAATTAATATACATAATATTTTAATACAAATCAACTTTACACTGTCAAAGGTACTAAATTGATGAGAAAGTACCATGAAATGAACAAAAAAAAAATTACATATATATATTCACTAAGTTGGACGGTAATGTTGGGCCCCGTGGGGACCCACCATGAGTCCCGTTTTGATAATCCGAACCGTTCAATGTGTAGAACTCGTCTAGTACTATATGCTTGTAAAAAATCACGTTGATCGGATATCGCTAACAATATGATCAAATCGGTTTTGTATAAAAAAATGGATGGTGTTATAGTTAACGGTTGACCAAAAAACTAATCCGATCAGATAGCTATAGATATCCGATCAACGTGATTTTTTATAAATGTATAATACTCGACGAGTTATACACATTGAACGGTTCCAATTAGCAAAATGGGACCCGTGGTTGGCCCCCACTGACCAAAGAGCACCGTCCAAATGGTTGCCCGAAAAGGAGGCAACCATTTCCTATTACACCACTCTGCAAACCTTGCTGCCACCATACAGCCTACGCTATCAAACCTTTTCCTACACACTAATTTATATAGTTTTTTAATACACATTTTTTCGTAAAAAGTCAAAAAATTTATCCAAATAGCCATATTTTTTTCCTTAACTTTTTAGTTAAAAAAGACAAAAAGTGTATTTGTTTACGACATTCCAAACAACCCCTAAGTCCTATAGAAAAAATTTGTCATATAAAAACGTTACTAATTGTAAATTTTAGCGACAATTTATAAAAATCATGACAAAAAAAATCAATAATTGTCAATTTTTAGTGACGTGTGTAAAAAATTGTTACAAAAAAATTATTTTTAACGACAATTTTATCAAAACTTATTTTTAATAGGACTTGATGAAAATTAAGTCTAACTATTAGGATCTATTGATAATTTAACCTTAGTTTTTGTCTTAATGAATTTGTGGTTAACAATTCACTCAAAGCTAATCCCAATTACTCACCTTTTTTTTTCTTTTGCGATTTTACAAATTAATGCTCTATTTGGAACTAATGGAATGAAATAGAAAGAAAAGGGGAATGCAAGTGAGCTATAAATTCTAGGGATAGTATATTATTTTTCTTTGCTGACAAAAGGGAGAAGCAAAATAACAATCCACTTTCTCTTTTCCCTCCGAAGGGGTCATTTGGGAATTGTACGAGGAAAAGATATTCGTTGCTATCCGTACTCCTTTCGTCCAAGTTCCGAATCTATCCGATCGACTTGAGAACACAACGACGGTGAGCTACCCGGCAGTGTGTTGCCGGAAAACCCCTCCGACAATCAAGTTAGCACATACTCAGAGATAGAAAGAGAGAGGAAGAGAATTGAGTGTTTAGGTTTCTTTCACCAAATGATGTTCCCTGCTCAGCATGGAGGGGCGCAGTCATACTTATATACTTTCTGCGCTCAACTCTGCACCCATTAGTCTCTTGACACGTGGAGCTGCTCTCCCATCTGTCAGCACAAATCCAGCGAATACTACCTAACCAAACCGCCAGACAACATTAGCGGGAACTCGGCAGCCCGGCGGCATCCTCCTCGGCCTTCCACGACCGTGCTATGTAATGAGTCTGAGTGCTCCACTCGCCGAGCTCCATAATGGCCGAGCTCGGTAGCATTCCAGCAGAGCCGAGTTCAAGACAGGTCGAACCGGTGAGTAGAAGGCCTTCTCTGCCGAGCTACACGTGCGAACCATGGAACCCGGGTTGGCAGGCGATCATCTCGACTAAGTAAGCTCGGTTAAAACATGGGACCTGGACCTCAAGCCTGGGCCTCGACCGAGCAAGACCAACTCCACGGAAGCCCCAGTCAGCTCGGCCTAAACAGGGGGCCTGAGTGTAATAACCCCGACCCGTAATTAGCTACTAGTCAGTGATTAAAGATGCTAATTAAGTGAATAAAATAAATTATGTGTTTATTATGTATTTGGCTTGATATTTGGCTTTTTATCTGTTACTTGTAGAAATATCTGTTTGGAATTCCGTTTTAATATGTAAATTGAAAGCCTTATCGGCATCTGAATTCGGAATTAATTACGTTAATGTGTTATTTAGAATTTTTAGAACCTTTTGGCAAGTTTTATTAAAAATTGATTCAGAATGATTCATTAAGTTGCGTTTTGGCAAGCCTTATGTTTTAATTAATGTATTTTAGCCTCATAACTATATATGTATCACATTTAGCTCATTTGAGCTCATTTCTTTCATTTCCCCTTAGTGCAAAAACCTGAGAGTTTGTTTTAGAGAGAGCGAGAGTGCAATTCTAGAGAGAGAGAGAAGAAGAAGGAATTGAAGAAGAATTAAAGGTTTTGTGTTGAATTCATCAAGATTGTGCTAGAACACGAGTGATTCAAGACTCTAGGTAAAATTGCAACCTCTAGATTGTGCATCTAAGTCATTTAACATGAGTTTTCTTCAAGATTATATGTTTAAATTGTGTTCATGAGCTTAGGATAAAGGAATTGTTGCTAAGTTATACATGCATGTATAAATTTGTCAAGAGCTCTCATGTTTGAGCATCATTCATGCCATTAGAGATGAAATTACAAGCTAGAAGCCACATGCATGTTTGAATTATCATGTTTTGAACCTTGTTTCATGTTTTGGAAAATAATTTCTTACATGCATGGAGTTTATGAGCTCAAATTTGATAACTT